ATTATTAGGAATAGTAGAATAATATTAATAGGATATTTTTTTTTATTAGAGAAATCGCATAACCAGCTAAAACTCGACCTATTTACACAATAAACAAAGAAACACGTTCAGGAACACACTGAAACACACTGCACTAAAAACTGACTGCAAATGACCCAACACGTTCAGTGTTCAGTGTTCAGTATACACGAGTCATTAAAGTTTCTAAATAAAACGAACAAACTAACTCACAGAGCAACTAAGTGTGCAAACTATAGAAAAAACAAAAGTACTAATTTGTGTAAAAATCGAGTATTTATTGGTGAAATGTAATATGTATGTGAAAAGAAAATTTAACAATTTAGGAACGTAATCTATGTATCATCAATACATAGTATAAAACAAAGTCGCTTTCGCTGTATGTCCGTATGTATGCTTAGATCTTTAAAACTACGCAACGGATTTTGATGCGGTTTTTTTTAATAGATAGAGTGATTCTTAAGGAAGGTTTGTATGTATAATACATGCATATTGCACCCGTGCGAAGCCGGGGCGGGTCGCTAGTATTTATATAAAAATGAAACCCGTTTCCCGTTGTCACGCCATAACTTGACAACGGCTAGACAGATTTGGATGATTTTTTATTTGTTGTGTTTGTTATTGTCAGGAGAAGGTTTTTAAGACAGAAAAATCCTGTAAATCCTACGGGAACGGGAGAAAACTAGATTGCGCGTACGAAGTCGCGGGCAAAAGCTAGTAATTAATAGATAACATTGGTCCAGAGTGGAGATAGCTTCTAGGCAAACGTAGTGTAGCGCACCCTCCAGCTAGGTGGAGTGACGATATCTGTTGTGTGGCTGGCAGTGGTTAAATGAGGGGCTCTGAAGATCAAGCTCAGTGGCGTGCTATTGGAGCCATGGCCAGCAGTGGACTAATACGTACTGATGATGATGTCATCATTTCCATTAATTAAGCGAGATCATATTCAATGAGATTGCTCCTCGACCTATAACTATTTTTCTAAATAAATGCTCTTACATACATATAATATTTTTTTGTTTTTTTTTTGTTTTGCAGTTTGGCAGAAGTAATATTGTATTTTTCCAACTATGTTTCTTACCTTGAATAAACGCTTCATTCATTCATTCATTCATTCATATATCATCACGCCTTGTGTATCCCTGAAGGGGAAGGCAGAGGTGTACACTACAGCACTTTGCGCCACTGTACAAACACCCACTTTTCACTATTTATGTTATGATTCCCATGTAAGGTGGTGAACCTATTGCCATATACCGGGCGCAATTCCAGACTCCGTACTATTATTGAGATTTTTTTAAAAACTCAATAATCCTATGGCCGACCCGGGAATCGAACACGAGACACCCTGCTCAGCAGTCGCACTTGCGACCACTCGGCCAACGAGGTAGCTTAATAATATTTTAAAACCACATAATCTTACATCGATAAACAAATTCGAACCCTTAATAACAATTTGTGGATCACACGAAGAATTGTTTTAATTCGCAGCAGCCGGTCGTCCATATAATGCGACAACAGTACCATTAATCGTGAAAATCTAGCCTAAGTCTGGTTCGCCTATGACTTTGATTCCATTCGTCATCAGCGGAAATAAGTTCAAATTGAACAATGGCTTCTCTTCTAAAAGGGTTTTCTTATAATCCCCATGCTTGGCCGTCGCGGTTTTGGGGATTTAAATTGGGTCAGAGGATACCGCTGCCTGTCTTTCGGTGTCTGGTCAAAGTTGACTATGAAATCTAGCTGTACCAGAGTTGGTGTCAACAATATTAATTATTATTATCGGTTTTCACTACATAGTATAAAAGAAAGTCGGTATCCGTGGTCTGTCTGTCCCTATGTATGCTTAGATCTTTAAAACTACGCAACAGATTTTGATGCGGTTGATAGAGATCACTCTTACAAATAAATTAAGAAATTTAAGAATCATCTTAAGGAAGATTTATATGAATAATACATGCATATTGCACTGGTCCGAAGCCGAGGCGGAGGCTAGTTAATTATAAAAAAGAACTGAAATAATTTATTTGTCTTGTTATTTGTTCTATGGTTCATAGGAAAATCAAACCTGTGATATGTTGTTTAGTAGGAAATTGGTAAGTAGTTGCATCTACTGAGCAGTTAGATATATTATAAAATAAATACAATTTTAAAAAACTTGATATTTAAAGTCTTTTTTTAACATACGACACCGAAGTTGCAAATAGTACCTAAGTTATCTTAACTTAAGGTATAATAAACTAATAAATTGATAAGATAATATTACTGAATTAAAAATAAACATGTGGCCCTTAAAATAAATAAAAAAAATAAACAAAAATAATAAATAATATTTATCTTAACTAGTCTAAATGCATGGCTAATTCCCCTCTTCGATTGGCGCTAAGTTTTCGCGAGCGGCGGGCGGCGGGGAGGGGGGGCGGCCAGGCGCCACTTCCCGCCATTTTCTCAGCGTGGGGATACCAGAGCACGCAAATTACCCCCCAAACAAGGGAGATTGTGTTTTGTATTGATTTTCCGTGACCTTGATTTTGGTGGTACTATTTTTTTGTAACTGTTGGTGTTGTTGAGTTGAACTGTGAATGGTGAGCATCGGGGCTAGGTTAGCTTTCCAAGTTGCGTAAAGTTATTGGGTTTTAGATTTCTGATTTTTCAAATAGTTCTGGGGTCTGAATTTGTGTTGAAGCATATAAATTTTAATTTCCGAGTGAGTACATTAATTCTCTAATTCTTTGTTTCATCCCTGTCTACCCCTTCAGGTTATAAAAGGCATGATATTACAATCCTTTGCTTAGTTCGATCATGAATTCAATAAGTATTTTATATAACTCTATCTACTTATTACAATGTCAATGTACTTGACAATAATTAAATATTTCCTACTGTTATCGTTGATATTATGACGACGTTCATGAATATTTCAAGGGAACAACTGATGTAATAAAAATGATTTATAATAGTTTCCAAACTCGTAGAACAGATATTATTTGTAAAAGATGTGTTTAGTATTAAAATTTAATTCTATTATTTATTCAAGGCTACGAATACTCACATGAGGTAAAAGAAAATTAAAAAATATCTTACACAAATACCAATAAGACAACATTCGTTATCTCAATCTTAGGTACTTTAGTGATTAGATGTCTTAGTTTTTTCCTCTTTACAATATAACAATGTTGTTATTTAAGTATAATTTTCCGATTCTCATTGAGTTTAGACGCTAATTAGAAGTCGCATCACGTCATCTCTTCACATAATTAGCAACACGCAATGCATATCAACACTGCATTTTAAATCGAGTAAATAATTTAAATTCCAATAGACAAGATCCACTGCTGAACTCTGAGCATCCTCTACAAAATATAGAATTGTCATAATCACCATGCTTGGTAGTCGAATTGGAGATTATGGTTTAAAAGGTTCAAGATTTCTGTCTGTGTCTCTGTTAACGTAGTCAGTTAGTCGGCACTTGACACTCGCGGGAATAGTAAAGGTAGTGACAAAATATGTTACTCTTAATAAAATAAAAGAGATAAACTCCCCGATATTTCGTCGTTCACCCCGATTTTCCCCGGCAGTTTTCTCTACGCACACTAGCAACCCATCCATCCCGAATGGTCAGTCGTTTTGGCGCCGTCGTTAGATGCGGTCGTCGGTCGCAGCGCCGCCTCCCGTGCATCGTGTCTAATAGAAAATAAATAAAAAAATAGTGTAAAGTTCTGTGTGAAGTGTTCAGTGAGAGTGATACAGTGTTGCATTATTTCTTCAATATATACAGTGAGTATTGTATGTTTTGTTAGTAAGATAACATTTTCGTGGATTACATAGGATCGCGCGACCTTCGCAATATTCTGGCCCAAGGGTTCCTTGTACTACTATCGTAAATAATTCTGGATAGGACTCAGAGAGGCTGTTACGTTTTTATAAAATAGCCTTTTGTTATTTGCAGAGTTGAGGTGAATTTTCTTCGCGATTTACGTTCGAAATTCGAGTTATTACGAGTATTTCGAACACTTGTATTGGTGACATATATTTTTAAATTAAAACTCTTGTCCTACACTTAGGTTTTTATATTTAAAAAAACGGTTTGATAAAAAATCGCTATAGGTGTATTGTGTGCAAATTTTATTGCTTTGTAATTAACGTTATTTATGACAACAATAAAAATTTTATTACGATGTTATAAAATAATGACGATAAAACATAATTATTTTGTTATAAAATAGAAAATGATTATTTGATTCATTCTATGCGTTTGAAATAAACATGACCTTTATTTATAAAAATAAATAAGATTATAAATATAAATAATTAAAGTGGTTGTCTAAAGAAAGCCATTATTGTACTTTTTCGCGAGGAATTTTTATTTTATCTCCTTACAAAGCGTAAAGAAATTGCGTATTTTGAAAAAGAAAAATGGTCCTTATTCTTAAGAATTTAAGCCTGTAATTTGACGTGTTATTCTCTTTATTACGGCTTTTAAAATATATCTTCACGATTGCTTTTTGATGGATGGCTAGAGTTAATTTCTTAGTTTATCATCTGACACATATTTTTGTCGTTTTCAGAGCAGTGGGTCAAAGGGTTTAATTTGCAGTGTGTAGGGTGAATTACTGTAGATATTGTCAATGATTCGGTTGCTATTGATAAGTGAATAGTTTATATTGAAATTGCATTCATTTATTGCTCTGCGGAGATACTCTTACTCTTTCAAAATGTTGAATTTTTTAGAACGGTAATTGAATGGCATATCCTTTATTTTCTTTTAAATACTTTTGTTAAACGCGTTTGTTTTTTCATATTAATTTAAAATAAAGTAATAAGTAATACGTACTATATTTTTTTGTGGACAAATAAATTTTCATAATAATATTATCCAACGCGAAAGAATTAAAGAAACATAAATTACTTGATTCTATACATGATGTTCAAAATATTGTTCATATAAATTAAAATTACTCTGGCAAAAAATAAAAAGTAAGGTAAAATTGACTTTACATGGAAACTGGGTCATTTCTCAGCTATTGGAGTCCCTGAGCACTTTAGGATCACTTTATGGGTAGACAGCCAGACAGAAAAGCCAATGGTTACAAGGTTCTTTGATGCATGCCTGTGATTCAAATATAGGTCACACATTTTTAAAGCACCCCGTAGTAAAATTATATTATGGAAAATTTATTATTAGTATTACTTTTTAATGTGTTTATTTTATAAAATAAAAATGTAAAATACGTAATTGAATCCTATGTCCACATTTTTTTTAATTTATTAGTTTTAAAAATTTTAAAAATTATATTACAATTTGTTGAATTAAAATAAAATTATGTTAGTTCTCCATGAAGTATGGACAAAATACTAGTTGCAAATATGCTTTAAGTTTAAAAAGTCGAAATTATGGTGACATTAAATAGTTATTAAGTCATTTATTGTACAAACATGACTTATCGTTGATTTATTTCAAAAAGTATTTTAAAAAATGATAAATATGTTTTCACCTACATTTCAGACTCGTTTCCAAAATTTTCTACAACCAAAAACAGACCAAGACAGCACTTACTGCATTCTACAATAATAATTAATTATCACATTAAATAATTCAAACAATAGAAGCCAGAGGACATCGCTAGTTGCATTAAATATAAGCAAGTCCTTAGTCCAACCATTTATTCTAATCAAATATAAAATGCAGCGTCTCTCCGTCTGTCTGTCCGTTGAGCGCTTAATATTTGAGGACCACTTACTTTATCTCATTTGAAATCTTTGTGGGACACTGGGTAGAAGGTACTTATCTATAGTTATGGTTTAAAGTTTCAATAAATCTGTGGTGTAAGACTGTAATATTTATGTATGTTATGTCTAAGTAGGTACTGTACTGTAGAAATTGTTTTTTAGGAAATATGTAATATTACTTTATAAGCCAATATAATCGAGAATATAAAAATAAAAAAAATAAAATAAAATTCATTCATAATTCAAAAATGCAAAAAACAAAAATATGTTTCAAGTAAGTAAAATTGATCTCATAAAGTTAGATGCCTGCACTAGGACAATCCTGTATCGCAGGCGAAAGGAGCTCTATACATTACTTTTGTAGGAAGACATCTTATTTCTAAAAACGTAACTACATACTTATCATTATGCAACAGTAATATAATCATTAACAAATATATTCTGTGTAAAAAATACCCTTAACTCGTCGAGTACCGGTTTTGTAGACACAATTATAGAACAATAGGTTGCGGTCACCGGTGACCGCTTGGTGTTTGACAGTTTAAACGCCGAGCATGTATGAAAAGACTGATGACTGTAGATGAAGCAAAAAAGGTATGTAAGAATCGTAGCAATAAGCATTCTATAGTCTCTACCTACACCCATGGGAGACAGGCGTGAGGCTTCATATCATATTTTCACTAGTAACCTATTAAGCCTTTGACTGCCAATAGAAAACTGATGAAGGCAAATCCTCCACTAACGTCGGTCACCGGTGACCCTCACGGCATTTAATGTGTTAAAGTTACTAGTGAAAAATATATGTAGCTATAAGCTACATTTATTGATGCATATGTAACAAAGATAATTCAACTGTAATCTTCGGATATCGTACTTATTTCTTATTAATACTATTAGCATAGATTAATACTATTAATAACAAAAGCTAGCCGTTCTAAAGTCACATTCGTACGTGAATAGTAACGCTATGGAGAAATTAGAAATCTAATTTATAAATATGTCCAATACGCAGGGACGGACTGAGTATTTAGAATATTGAGCCTTTGGGTCCTTCTTTCGCAGTTCATGCGGCCGGGATTGAATTTGTTTGGCCTAGGAAGTCTAGGGTGTGAGATATTTTTACTCTGTTTTTCATCATCAGTCCTGCATATATGTACAATGGAGGCCAAATAATTTATTCGGATACATAATACAGACGTCAAAAAAGTGTTTGATTGTGATGATTTCATTTAGGACAAATAAAATATATCACCAAGTTTTACGATTGCAATTACAATTGTTAACCTGTCGTATATCGGAGCGTAGATCTATGGTAGACACAATGCGTTTTCTATTGTCTTAAATACCGACAAGAGGTAAATATCAAATCAAGTATTCTAATCTGAACCATTGGTGGTTGATGGATCCAATATCAGCTATTGTATTTACATGTACTGATTTACATGACTGCCTCGTTGGCCGAGTGGTAGCAAGTACGACTGCCGGGCAAGGGGTCTCGGGTTCGATTGCCGGGTCGGGCAAAGTATTACTGGGGTTTTAAAATAATCTCAGTAGTAGCACGGAGTCTGGAATTGTGCCCGGTATATGGCAATAGGCTCACCGCCTATTACATGGGACTCATAACATAAATAGTGAAAAGTGGGTGTTACATTGTACAATGGCATAATGTGCACCTCTGCCTACCCCTTCGGGGATAAAAGGCGTAATGTTATGTTATGTATTTACATGTATAGGAGAGTAATAGATTTCTAAAAAGTTCCAGTTAGATCCGACCCTGTAAAAGCAGCAGCCAGATTAATTAATTATTTATATATATATACATATATATTATATGTATAACTATATTATTTAATAATTACCATTATTTTTTCCTCTCTCTCTCTCTCTTTTTGTTGTTAGTTTATTCTCCGTACCTCAGTTTTCGCAGATTTTCCACTTAAACCCTAAGGTTGACTGGTAGAGAATGCCATATGGCATTAAGTTCGCCTTATGTACCATAAACAAATTATGTACATTAAAGAATAAATATGTCGGAGGATGGTATGGGCGATGTCAACCGAGAGCCCTCTTCGTCATATATATCGGTAGAGGTATGTTTATGCAGTAATAAAACAATTAAATCTTCGTAAATAAAGTAACGTTTACTTTCGACAGTGCACCTTTACTTGTTCGCATTTTAATTAAGTCGGCATTTCCTACGGACTACTCTGAGAAGAAACGCCGAAACAAACTCAGAGGTCTCAGTCCCTTTCAAAGTTTACAAATGGTCAAAATACATCAAAGTTTAGTCCACTTACATTGTAATAATATTCACAGTTATAATCTCAAACAATATAATGTCAATGACAATTTCACAGAGTCGGCATTTCCTACGGACTATTCTGAGAAGAAACGCCGAAACAAACTCAGAGGTCTCAGTCCCTTTCAAAGTTCACAAATGGTCAAAATACATCAAAGTTTAGTCCACTTACATTGTAATAATATTCACAGTTATAATCTCAAACAATATAATGTCAATGACAATTTCACAGAGTCGGCATTTCCTACGGACTATTCTGAGAAGAAACGCCGAAACAAACTCAGAGGTCTCAGTCCCTTTCAAAGTTCACAAATGGTCAAAATACATCAAAGTTTAGTCCACTTACATTGTAATAATATTCACAGTTATAATCTCAAACAATATAATGTCAATGACAATTTCACAGAGTCGGCATTTCCTACGGACTATTCTGAGAAGAAACGCCGAAACAAACTCAGAGGTCTCAGTCCCTTTCAAAGTTCACAAATGGTCAAAATACATCAAAGTTTAGTCCACTTACATTGTAATAATATTCACAGTTATAATCTCAAACAATATAATGTCAATGACAATTTCACAGAGTCGGCATTTCCTACGGACTATTCTGAGAAGAAACGCCGAAACAAACTCAGAGGTCTCAGTCCCTTTCAAAGTTCACAAATGGTCAAAATACATCAAAGTTTAGTCCACTTACATTGTAATAATATTCACAGTTATAATCTCAAACAATATAATGTCAATGACAATT